GAGGTCCGCAGCTCCGTCCCAGTCCCAGCTGCAGGAAGCACACTGGCCCCGTGTCAGGGGTCAGGGATATTGGTCTGGGGACGGAGCAGCCCGGTGACTTAACCTCTGGGGGTGCAGTTGTCCATCTCCAGCAGGGACATGCACCTCTGTCACTGATCATCTGGGGGCCTGCTGGGGACACATGGAGCCCTGGCATCCCAGCACCACTGGGGGTCCCCAGACATTGGTCCTGTCCTCCTCTCCAAGGCTGGGATCCAGGACCAGGGGCCACCACAGCCTGTCGTGAACCCACCCCTGTGTCACTCCCTTCACCTCATCCCGTGAGGCCCCAAAGCCTTTCCCCTCCCTCATCAGCTTTGACCCCATGGGTCCCCAAGACATGTGGGAGCCTCACTCCTTGGGTAAAAAGGCTGAGAGTGGAGGCAGCTACATGTCTGCCTGGGTCAGCGCTTGTGGCCGGACTCCCTGGGCGCCCCTCTCCTAACCTCAGCCCCACTGCCACCCAAGGATGGCCTCTGCTCCCCCTGCCAACTTCACAGGTCCTGGGCCCCAAGACCCAGCTGACCCTGGCTCTGGGTACAGGTGCTGGGCCCCCAGTAGCACCTGTGCTCCATGTGGAGATAGGCTGGCCCTGGGACTGGCTGGACAGTGTTAACGAGCTCTCCCGATGCCTGGTGTCCTGACAGTGCCGCAGGACCAGTGCTGTGCGGGGGGCGTGGGGACGGAAGGTGCTCTGAGCAGGAAGCTGCCATCTCAGGGTGGGCAGGGTGGTACTGTGCTCTGCGGGGCCGGGGTCAGCAAGCAGGCTGGAGTCCCATGTCAGGGCTCTTCTGCTCTGCTCCTGCTGACTATGCCAGATGCCCTGTGCTTCACTCCCCACGTGGGGACCGTTGACATGTGCGCCCTACGACCTCGGCACACAGAATTCCATCCTTGAGAGATGGGGAGCAACATGCAGAGAGGAACAACAGAGAGCACAGCCACCATGCGAATGCTGTGCTGGTGCCTGGGAGCCCTGCAGGTGCCCAGTGTCCACCTGTCCTGTCCAGGTCCCAGCGGCTGATTCTACCGAGTCTCCACTGTGCTCTTCTTGTACACAGGTTGAACCTGGCTGATGGTGGATGCCATTCATGATGGGCAGGAGGTGGGCAGGAGGGCAGGTTCTGCAGAGTGTGGATGCTGTCGGAGACACTGGGGCAGGGACTGTGTGCACCTGGCAGGACGCCTTCCTCTCTAGTAGGGTCCCCGTGGGCTGCCCCCTACTCACAGATCTGCTCACTACTTCCAGGGACACCCTCATCATCCTACGTGATCATATCAACCAATTCAGAGAAAGCACCGAACAAAATTTCACACCCATTAAAGTAACAACTCCTAGAAAAGTAAGAATAAAGGGAAATTTTCTTAAAAGCACCTACAACAGACCCTAAAATTGAAAACAATGCCATTTACAATCATTTTTTAAAAAGACACTTAGGTGCAAGTTTAACAAATTGTGTACAATCTGTATGTTAAAAATGGTACTATAATAATAAAATAAATTATAAAAGATGTAAATAAATGGAGAGAAATGCTATATTCAACAGAATATAGACAAATGCTGAAGACTCAACGTATAAAGGTGCCATTTTTCCCAAAAATTATACAAAGATTTAATGGGATACGTACCAAAATTTCAGAAAGAAATTTGTATAAATGGACAAGGTTATTCTAAAATATATATATGAAATGGCAAATGAATGAGAACAGTTAAAACAAAATTTTAAAAAGTAAAGTGGATGAATCAGACTACTCAATTTCAAGACTAAAGCTACAGTAATCAAGATACTAGCAGATAGACTGATTCCTAGGTCAATGGGACAGACAGAGTAGAGGGTCCAGAGACAGACCTACACAAACTGACCCAGTGATTTTTACAAAAATGCAAAAGCAACTCAATGGAGGAAAGACAGAATTGGCACAAAAGGGATTAGAGCAACTGGACATCCACAGACAGAAAAAAACAAAGAACTTCAACCTAATTCTCATGCCTTATACAAAAATTAACTCAAAACACACAAGTTTCATGTAACACATGAAACTATAAAACTTAGAAAACAAACAAACAAAAAGCTTTGGAATATGAAACTACATCCAGGGTTTTTAGATACTTCACCAAATGTATGATCCAGAAAAGGAAAAAAGTGATCAAATGGTCTTTATCAACACTATAACTTTTGTTCCACCTTTTAAGAGAATAAAAAAGAAAAGCTAAGAACTAGGAGCAAATATACGAGAACTTATGGCTTGTGTCTAGATGTCCCCCAAAGCCTCATGCAGTCATAGGTGGAGCTTTTTGGAGGTGGCTGGATCTAGAGTGTGTGGTGCTAACTGATCCACAGTGAATTCTAGGATTGACAATGCCTCACCCTGGGTGTGAGTGCTCCCCACTCTAAGGGCAGGTAGCCTGGATAGAATATAAGGGACAGAAAGAGGGTTGCTGTTCACTGCTTGTTGCTTGCTGCTTGCTTCTTTGCTCCTTCACTGCTTTACTGCTTTCTGCCTACCATGGACTGGTTCTCCTCTGCAGTCCCCTTCTGCCATGCCACTCTGCCTTGGAGCCAGCCAACTATGAACTGAAACCTCTACAATATGTATATAGCTACAGTAGACCTTTCTTCCTGTAACCTTGGGTGTCAAGTATTTGTGAACTACTGTAAATCTTTCCTCCTTTAACTTTGGGTGCTGGGTATTTTGTTTCAGCAATGAGAAAAGTAACTAAGACAGAATAAGATATTTGACAGAAGACTAGCATTTAGACTGTGTAAAGAACTATCAAACTCAACAGGTGAAAAAGAACTAGAAAATGAGCAAAACAATAAAGGGACCTTTCAGCAAATAGAATAATCCTCCTGATGGGAGAAAGGACATGAAAAGATGCTCAGCCTCAGTAGCCACTAGTGAAATGTAAATGAAAACCCCAAGGATGTATCCCCAAACACCTATCCAGATGGTTGAAATAAAACCACAGCGGCTATACAGAAGTCTGGGGAGGATGCACAGAACCTGGGTGATGCGGATGTGGCTGATGAAAATGAAATGCACAGTCCTCTGAAAATGGCTTGGCAGGTATTTAAGAAACTGAACATGCAACAGTTACACAGCTCAGCAGTTGCACTCTGGCACATTTTTCTTC